CTGGAATCTGCTTAATCAGCTCCATATCCATCACCAAAATACAGTTGGTGCCGAATATATAGTGTATATTTTTTTCCATCATTTTTGCCCTTTCTTGTTTTTCAATAGCATCCCTGGGACCACCAGAAGTTAATATCACTCCTTGTCTAAACTGCATAAATGTCACCATGAAGCTGCCAACCTCTCACTACAGAGAAAAGGGAAAGCTGCTCTCTTTAATTGATATCTATGAAGAGCTGGATTATGAAATAACACTGAAATCACAGGACAGAGAGGATAAGGTAAAGAACATTGGGGTTTATTTGTGCTTTTGGGGAGAAACACGGAAAGAATAAAAGGGTGAGCAGGTCCCCAGAAGCAAATATGTGAGTGGAAGCAAAAGAAAACACAGAAATGTGTTTTCTTAGAAGAAAGACAGTGGCCAGCACAATCTCTTACCACAGAGTAGCAGGTCTGGGAGAGTCACCAGGGATCTCCTTTTAGGCCAATAACTGACTTTAAAACACTGACTTTCTTTGGCAGAGGGCACAGGAGAAAACCACTAAAGAAGTTTTCAGTACTGTCATTGAGGAACTGTATCCAAGTAGGAATTACTGTGTGTCTGTGGTGGTCACTGCATCCCTGAACAAACATTCCATCCCCTCACCCTGGAAATGTGTCCCCTCAGGCTCCGTGGCTCGCCCAGGTAACTGTGCTGGGAGGGTCTGTCAGGGTGAGTGGTGTGGGGAGATTTACAACTCAATCCTGAAAAATGATGGGTGATATGGAATTGTGGAATAGCCTGAGCTTGGAAGGACCCCAAGGATCACCCAGTCCAAGCCCTGCCCCTGCCCAGGACACCCCAACAATCCCTGAGAGCGTTGTCCAAACCCTCCTGGAGCTCTGGCAGCCTTGGGGCCGTGCCCACTGCCCTGGGGAGCCTGGGCAGTGCCCACCACCCTCTGGGGGAAGAACCTTTCCCTGAGATCCACCCTGAGCCTGCCCTGTCCCAGCTCCAGCCCTTCCCTGGGTCCTGTCCCTGCTCCCAGCGAGCAGAGGTGGGGCCTCAGTCTCAGAGAGAAAGTACCTTCCAAGAGAGAAACTTTGGGAGGGTTTGTAAGTGAAATACAAACCCCATCCACTCTGGGGCAACAAATCCCTTGGCAGTCCTGGGAGCCACACAAACCTCCACTCACTGCAGAAAGATCAAAGATGGTGTCATTTCTTTTTTAATTACTGAATCTAATTTGAGATTTGGTCTTGTTTTGACTTTGACTTAGAGAGGTCCCTTCTAACCAAAATTATTCTCACTAGCTGTTGTGAATGTATGAAATGTGGTCGTGGTGCACCTCATTCATTTCTGTTTATTTCTTGTTTTTCCTGCCCAGGTTATCACTTACCTACAGTGGCAAGTGCTGTGTGTCTCTCACTGGTAATAGGTGGTGCCTTGAAGTGTCTGCATGCAGCAGGTTATTTTCTTCTAGGCAAATCATTGCCACATGCCTTGGTATGTAATAATCCTCAGATTTAACCTTTCTGGTTGGGAGGAGGAAGTTCACCTCCTGGAATTTCTAATCCTGTGCATTGTGTACAAGTTATGTAAGAGCACGGAATGTTTAATTTGCAGATTGTTTAATTTACCTCTGTCAAAGATAATCTGCAGGCTGTTTCTATCCATCTTTGCTTGCTTGTTTTATTTTTATAGCCTCCAATTTCTTTCACATTTAATTCAATGGGGTTTTTCAACATAAATAATTTTCATTCTCTGCAAACATACCCAGAGCAGGTTGCTCTCACCTTTTTCTAAGACACTTAGCCTCGTTTCTATTCTTTGCTGTGTCATTACCTTCACATCCCTAAAACTGCTGAACATGACTTTGCCAAGCAGTGTCTAAGGTTTATTTTTTTATTTATTGTCACCATTTTCCCTCAATGCTTTGCATATTAAATAATCCTCCAAAGTGCAGGGGGAAAATGGGGCTTGGCATGTTAAATTGCTTCAAATAGTAATTTCTGAAGGACAATAAAATTGATCAGGTAACTGCAAGAGCTCAGAGAGATTCGCAGGACTTGGCTCAGGTTTAAGATGTGTTTCCAAAATGAGCTTTTAGTCTTAGAAAGAGACCTCAGAAATCAGAACTAAATCATTACATACCTGACACTGCTTGGCACTGTTGTCACTTCGTTTCTGTGGCTGCCCAGTGTGCCTGGATTTGTAGTGAAGGCTGTCCGTGTTTTGGCTTTAAACTGAAACAGAATAGGGTTAAATGGGATATTGGGAAGGAATTCCTGGCTGGGAGGGTGGGGAGGCCCTGGCCCAGGTTGCCCAGAGAAGCTGTGGCTGCCCCTGGATCCCTGGAAGTGTCCAAGGCCAGGTTGGACGGGGCTTGGAGCAACCTGGGCTGGTGGAAGGTGTCCCTGCCCATGGCAGGGGGTGGTACTGGAGGGGCTTTGAGGTCCCTCCCAACCCAAACCATTCAGTGGTTCTGTAATTTTCAGGAATGGAGAAGAGGGAAATGCCCTGAATTCTGTGGAAAACCCCAAAAACACGGCACAGAAGGAATCATTTGTTTGACAACCTCACGATTGGGGGTGTTGTTGCTCATGTTTTCCTGTGCACGTGTGCAAGTTTGGCTGATGTTTTTAATTCCCTTTACTCCTTTAGGAATCCATCAGGAGGTGGGTCTACCTGTCCTGGATATTTCCAGCAGAAGAAGTCGACTCCGTGGAGGTCATCCCCAGAGAGGTTAAACCCAAGGCCGGTGGGTTCAGTGGCAGTGACAGTGACGGCGAGGACAGTGACAGCAGTGCCCTGTGGGACCACGACTACACGAGGAGGGAGGTGCTGGGCAGAGCCCCCCCTGCCCCTGGCATCCCCCCCGTGCAGTACTCAGAGAACAGGCCCCGTGAGGACAGCGGCACCCCGGGCACTGCCAGCGCACCCCCCGAGCCCCGGGGCCCTGAGGAGCATCACTCGGACCTGGAGGGAGAGCAGGACACGGGCAGGGAGGTGCTGAGCCCTTTCCCCGAGCTCAGCTGTCACTGCCCTGCCAGGCAGAGCGGCAGTGGCTGCTTCACCATCAACCTGCAGAGCGTGCTGCTGGGCACCCTGGAGGGCAGCGGGCACGGCCCCCCGGCCACTCTGCCTGCCCAGGAACACCAGGGGCTCTGGCAGTGTGACCATGCCTTGGAGGCAAAGGATGACACGGGGACTGGGCACAAAGCACTGGGTGCTGAGGACTTCCAGGAATGGCAGAACTCTCCTTCGGAGGAGGAAAGCGACTCCTCGGAGTCAGACACGGAGCAAGTGACTGGGTACATGAGGAGGTGAACGAGGCAGAGCCACTGTTACCCTGGAGCAGACGAGTCCACACTATCCAGCTTTTATTTCTGGACTGAACATACAGAGCTTGTCTTCTTATTAACGTTCTGTGAGGGTGGACCTCCCCTACAGACAGAGCTGGAGAAGAGAAGGCTCCAGAAAGGACTTGAGAGCCCCTTCCAGGGCCTAAAGGGGCTCCAGGAGAGCTGGAGAGGGACTGGGGACAAGGGATGGAGGGACAGGACACAAGGAATGGTTTCCCAGTGCCAGAGGGCAGGGATAGATGAAATATTGGGAAGGAATTCTTCCTGGGAGGGTGGGGAGGCCCTGGCCCAGGTTGCCCAGAGAAGCTGTGGCTGCCCCTGGATCCCTGGAAGTGTCCAAGGCCAGGTTGGACGGGGCTTGGAGCAACCTGGGCTGGTGGAAGGGTGGTCTCTCAACCAGACCACTTCTTCAATTTATTTTTTTTTCTTTAGCCCTGTCACTGGATTTCTCAGAAACCTGTTTTGCTGGATGTTTTGCTGTATTTTTCTAGAGAAAGTGGATGAATTGAAATAACGAAGGGCAGAGAATACTTACAATACTTACAAAAGAGTGAATCGAGGCATTAAATACACTTTTTATATCATTTTTTGCAATTATTGAATACCATTAAAATATTTTTATGGCATTTAAAAGTTCCTGTGCTGTACAGTTCTACTTAACATTTGCACTTCATAAATAGGACTTTTTTAATATCCCTGCCTGAATTTTACCCGTGGCTCCTACTGGCCTTAGAAAATGTGAGTGAGCCTGCTAAGACCTTACTCCTTGTGGGAAGGGTTTTAGCTATTGCAGAGCTGAAAAAAACCCACTTTTTTCACCTTGTGTTGATGTCTTAGCTCCTACTTTTCTGCCCATGAGCAGTTTCTGGCTGCCAGGGCTGGCAAATGGATTAAACCCCAACAAAAACCTGGTATTTTCAGTAATAGCTTGAGGAAGAACCCTTTTTACTCTGAATAATAAAACTGCCCCTTCTTTCCCTTTGCTGGGGAGATGTTCTGGTGGAAGTTCTCTTCATCAGGCACTGCAGTGACAGGACAAGGAGTGATGGGTTCAAACTGAAAGAGGGAAATTCAGGTGAGAAATTGGGAAGAAACCCTTCCCTGTGAGGGTGGGGAGGCCCTGGCCCAGGTTGCCCAGAGAAGCTGTGGCTGCCCCTGGATCCCTGGAAGTGTCCAAGGCCAGGTTGGACGGGGCTTGGAGCAACCTGGGCTGGTGGAAGGTGTCCCTGTCCATGGCAGGGGGTAGAATTAAATGATCTTTAAGGTCCCTCCCAACCCAAACCGTTCCACGGTTCTCTGAGTAGCGGCGTGGGCATCTTTGGTGGGGGCCGGACCCTGCAGGTAGAAGATAAAGCTGAGGGTTGGGAACGGTCCCGCTGTCTGAGGGGAAACCTCGGTGTCTGAGGGTGAAACTGCGGTGTCTGAGGGAGCAGCCCTGGTATCTGAGAGGGAACAGTCCCAGTGTCTGAGGGAGCAGTCCCGGTGTCCCGGGTGAACGCCCGGTGTCTGAGGGTGAACAGCCGGTGTCTGAGGGGAACCCCCGGTGTCTGAGGGAGCAGCCCCAGGTGAATCCCCGCCCGGGGAGCCGCCGTGCCCGCCCCGCCCCGCCGGGAAGCCGGAAGGGTTCCGGGGCGGCCCCGCTCCCGCGGCGATGGCGCGGCGGCCCCGCTGCTGCTGCTGCTGCTGCTGAGGGAGGCGCCGGGAGCCGCCATGGCCGCCGCCCTCAGGGGCGCGCTGTTCGGCGGGCTCCTGCTCTGCGGTGAGTCCGCCGGCGCTGGAGGGAGGGACGGAGGGGACGGAGCGACCTCCCGGTCCCGCCTCGCCGCGAGGAAGGGGGCGGCGGTGCCCCCGGGGAGGCGGGAGCGAGGGGCGCCTGAGCCGGCGAGGCCACCGGTGCCGTGAGGAGCCGAGAGTCCCGGAGCGGGCGGGTGTTGCCCTGTGGGGACAGCGAGGACAGCCCGGGGTGCGTGCAGGGCACCCGCCGGCGTTATTGCCCCGCGGTTCTGTCCGTGCTGGGAAACGGGCACGGTCCTGCCCAGGCTGGGACATGTGCGGGTCCCGGCCGGGAAAGGCGGGTGTGGGGGCGAAGCCGCGCTCCGGGGGCTCAGTGTCACTGTACGGGACAGGGCTCGGGGTCACTGTAGGACCACGACTGTCCCTGACAGGAGCGTGGAGCCGGCTCTGCTCCCGGGGAACAAGGGACAGGAGGAGAGGGAACGGCCTCCAGCTGTGCCAGGGGAGGCTCAGGTTGGCCAGGAGGAGGAATTTCCTGCTGGAAAGGGTGGTGAGGCCTTGGCAGGGGCTGCCCAGGGAGGTTTGGAGTGCCCAGCCCTGGAGGTGTCCCAGGAAGGCCTGGCCGTGGCACTCAGTGCTCTGGGCTGGGGGACAAGGTGGGGATGGGGCACAGGGGGGATCCAGGGGCTGGGAGGGCTTTTCCAGCCTCAGGGATCCTGGGATTCTCTGCACAAACCTTAAACCCTCAGAAGTATTTCTCCGAATCTCGCCGTCCACATTGCGCAATAAAAGAATTTACCTGGAGGTTGTTCAGGTAGGAAGTGTTGTCAGGGAAGGGAGCCTTGCCTTTTCCTGGGAATTTACATGCTTATCTCAGACCTCATCCTGAAAGCAGGGGCAGCGCTCCAGGAAAGCTGGAGAGGGACTTTGGACAAGGGCCTGGAGGGACAGAAAAAAGGGGAATGTCTTCCCACTGCCAGAGGGCAGGGATAGGTGGGATATCAGGAAGGAATTCCTGGCTGGGAGGGTGGGGAGGCCCTGGCACAGGTTGCCCAGAGAAGCTGTGGCTGCCCCTGGATCCCTGGAAGTGTCCAAGGCCAGGTTGGACGGGGCTTGGAGCAACCTGGGCTGGTGGAAGGTGTCCCTGCTCGTGGCAGGGAGTAGGATGAGATGATCTTTAAGGTCCCTCCCAACTCAAACCCTTCTGTGATTCTAACTTCTTTCTTTGTGATGTGCAGCGTGTTTGAGTTAATTTGCTGGGTACAAGTAGGGATTGAGTCTGAAATAGTTTTTATTTAAGCCTGATTTAGATTTCAAGCTCCTGTCTGCCAAAGGTGGGTAACTGGCACATTAATTTCATTTATTTCTGCAGCCTCTAACCCTTAGGGACATGGTTTAGGGACTGGATGACCTTGAAGTTCTCTTCCAACCTTGATGATTCTGTGAACTGTAGACCTGTAAATTGTGTTATTTATCTCACAACATCTGTCATCAGGTTTGACACCTGTGACATGTAAGGCCTGATCTCATCTGGCAGGGTTTGTTTGCATTGCTCATTTACGTTGCAATAATGAGCCGGAATCTTTTCTATTTCAGTTTCAATACCAGCAATTATTTAAAGATCATTAAATCATAATAGTAATGGACTGTTCATCCATGCTTTACACTATTTTGGGGTTTCTTTTATTCAGTTCCAAGCGAAGAAAACGACTGTTCTTGTCACTTGTGAATAGTGCTGATTAATGATTATTATATTTAATAACTCACATTCACAGGTGTTTCTGGTTTATCTCTGTTTATCATTCCCCACACCCTGTTGTTCCCATTTGGGTTTGCCAGTCCCAGGGAGAGTTCATGCCCTGGGTGCAGGGCAGTGCCAGGCCAGCCGTGCCCAGTAAATGATGGTGTCATAAACACTTACTGGAAGTCGCTGGTGCTGGTAATTGGTTTGTGTTTCATCAGCTCAGAGGGCACGGGAGGCGCCGGGGTGTGAATTAATGATGTGGAGGCCTGATTGGAAACGAGCAGCTGAGGCAGGAGGCTGCGTTTAAAGCCGGGCTGACCGAGGAGTGGCCGGAGGAGCTGAAATGTTTGTTTGTTTGGATTGCTCCCGCAGTGGCTGGAAGGGTGCCGAGGCCCAGGAACGCGAGAATCACCTCGGTCAATCTGCAGAGCACTCTGCGGTGGGAGGCGCCGAGGTTCCCCCGGGGGAACATCACCTACACCGTGCGCTACAGGAGGTGGGTCCGGGGGGTTGTGCTTTCTTTAACTCACGGTTTACAGCTCTGTGTGTGTTAGTCATTTGTTTCCTCTTCAGAGGACGATCAGGAGCTGCCCCTTTCTTTTAGCTTGTGAGAGGCTTCTCTGCTGGGCTAAGAACAGGCAGAGGCATTTTCTGTGCATTCACACCCGAGGCAGATTTATACCTTTTATTTTTGGAACCGGAAACACCTTTTTAACAATGGATGTTATTCACTCTGTGTGTGGTTTATCATGTAGCTGTTACCTGTGATTCAGGAGATTCAGGAGACTGGGTCCTGCTGAGCATTTGCTCCTTCCCTGACCTCTCAGATGGAGCCACCCAGTGCCACCCCTGCCATGGGCAGGGACACCTTCCACCAGCCCAGGTTGCTCCAAGCCCCATCCAACCTGGCCTTGGACACTTCCAGGGATCCAGGGGCAGCCACAGCTTCTCTGGGCACCCTTTGCCAGGGCCACCCCACCCTTACAGGGAAGAATTTCTTCCCAATATCCCATCTAACCCTGCCCTCTGGCACTGGGAAGCCATTCCCCCTTGTCCTGTCACTCCATCCCTTGTCCAAAGTCCCTCTCCAGCTCTCCTGGAGCCCCTTTGGGCACAGGAAGGGGCTCTGAGGTCTCCTTGGAGGCTTCTGTTCATGCTTAGTTCAAAGAAGATTTTTCTGGGTTTTGGTAGCCGTTACCTTTTGATCCCTTCCTCCCTAGGTGGGCTTTGGATGCAACCCATAAAGAGTATAATATATTAAATTTCATATCATATATTATCAAGACCAGGCTGGACGGGGCTTGGAGTAACCTGGGCTGGTGGAAGGTGTCCCTGCCCATGGCAGGGGGTGGGATGGATGAGCTTTAAGGTCCCTCCCAACCCAAACCTTCTGTGATTCTATTCTGCAAACAGTTCCTGGTCACTTGTCAGGCTCTGTTTTCTCTGGCTTCTCCATGTGTGCATATCTTGGAGACAGCTCTGAACAAGTCCCCTCTGGACAGCAGTGGTTTGGCTGAATGTTTGCAGACTTCTCTGATCACTCCTGTCTGGTGAATCAAGTGTTGTAACCAGTGTCAGGAAAGGGGCATCTGCTCACTGACCCGGAATTTTAACCTCTCTCACAGATTTGTGGATGAACATAAAATCCTTTGGGTGGTTCTCAATATGTTCATGTTCCTGAGTCCTAACTGGTTGTACCAAGAGATTTGCTGTTATGCATTAGGCTGACAGGGAAGTCAGTGGTAATTTGCCCATCAATGATTCTGTTTCTCTTCCCACAGCACGGTTCTCCCGGGGGACACGTACGAGCTGGTGCAGAGCGGGCTGAGCAGCACACACTGCGACCTGTCCTGGCTCTGGGAGTCTGGCAAATACATCCTGCAGCTGCGGGCCCAGGCTGGGCAGCACCACTCGCCCTGGGTCACCCTCAGCTTCAGCCCCATGGATGACAGTAAGGCCCCTCTGCCCTTCCCCTGTGGCCCCCAGCAGCTTGGCTCCACAACAGCTGCAGGGTGCAGGTTGTTTTCTGATTGAATCACGTTGAAAATCACAGTTGTAACACTTGAGGACAGAAAGCAGAGTAGGTTCACTGTTATATATTGGTAACCTGGAAATCTCTTTTGAGGAGATTTTCTAATAAAGTGGCTTTTTTCCCCTTAAAATAAGGATCATTTCAATTTTCCAGCCAGGGAGAGGTTGTCTTCAAGGAATCAGATTTCCTATATGTCTAAATAAATTCACTTGGACAAGGGCCTGGAGGGACAGGACAATGGGGAATGGCTTCCCAGTGCCACAGGGCAGGGTTAGATGGGATATTGGGAAGGAATTCCTGCCTGGAAGGGTGGGGAGGCCCTGGCCCAGGTTGCCCAGAGAAGCTGTGGCTGCCCCTGGATCCCTGGAAGTGTCCAAGGCCAGGTTGGATGGGGCTTGGAGCAACCTGGGCTAGTGGAAGGTTGCTTCCTCATTGCTTTTCCAGACAAAATGCTTTCTTTTTATTTTTTCTTCATTCAAAAAGCCCCAGTTTCACGGGGAAAGATTGATTTTCAGTCAAGAAATCTTGCTTGCCCAGTATTCACAATATGTACACAATATTGCCATTCTCTTAGTGAAGCTTTCCAGTCTTCTGGGAGGGAAGATTTAGGCATTGCCTTGATTAGGGTGCACAGCACAGATGTTAATTGTGTTGCTGAGCTTGGCAGTGAGAGTGGGTTTTACCACTGAGCATCCTGTGGTTTGTACATTCTTACTCTAATCATGAACAAAAATGAAAATATTTTAGATTATTTGTTACCCAGTGCTTTTTTCTCTCCTCACAGCCATTAACACAAAATCACACAGGAAGGTTCTGTTCCACCTCACCTTGGAGGAAAACCTTTACAAATATGTTTTTTTCTTGCCCCACCTCCAATCTCTTGAATTTCATCATTCTTGGATTTCAGAGTGGAATTTTACATTTAACAGCTTTGTTTTTCCAAAGGCTCTTGTTGGTTATCTCTTTAAAACAAATAACTGTGACACAATTTAACCTGCCCAGCACAGAAGCACTGAAACATGGTGTGGAAAAATTACAATTCTGAAGGTATAAACTACAGCCAGAAGAAAATGTGATAAAAAGTGTGGATAGGTTCTCAGAGTGGAGAGAAAACCAGTAAATCATTAACAGAGGTGTTGTTTGACATATATTTGAAAGAGCCTGTGGCCTTGGGAGCTGGCTGGGCTTTGGGAAGGCAGCTTAATCCTGAGTGGGAAAGTCAGGGACTAAAACTATTGTCAGGAAAGCCTGGGAGCACTGGGCAGCTGGGAAATCTCCAGGGAGGACATGAGGGTTTGTAGGGTTGCCAGAGCTGGTGTGAGAGGGTATCATGATAAAGGAATGTGAAATTCTGTGACTCCTGTCTGTGCTGGGCTCACCCGACCTGCTGCAGAGAGCTCTGCAGAGAAGGACCTGGGGGTCCTGGGGGTGACAAGGTGACCATGATCCATCAGGGTGCCCTGGGGGGACAATGGGATCCTGGGATGCATCAGGAAGAGCACTGGAGCAGGTCAGGGAGGGGATCCTGCCCCTCTGCTCAGCCCCGGGAGGCACATCTGGAGTGTTGTGCTCAGTTCTGGGCTCCACAGTCCAGGAGGAGCCCCTGGAGAGGGTCCAAGAGGGCCCCAGAGATGCTGAGGGGTCTGGGGCTGAGCAGAGGCTGCGGGAGCTGGGCCTGGTCAGTGTGGAGAAGGGAAGGCTCCCAGGGCATCCATCAATCCACACCAGTGTCTCCCAGCGGGGTCAGGGCACGGCCCCAGGCTCTGCTCAGTGGTGCCAGTGCCAGGGTGAGGAGCAATGGCCAGAAACTAAAACACAACACGAGGGAAAACTTCTTTCCATTGAGGGTGGCAGAGCCTGGAGCAGCTGCCCGGGGAGGCTGTGGAGTCTCCTCTCTGGAGACATCCCAAACCCACCTGGACATGTTCCTGTGTCACCTGCTCCAGGTGACCCTGCCTGGGCAGGGAGTGGGACTGGATCATCTCCAGAGGTCCCTGCCAGCCCTGACTATTCTGGAATTCTGTTCTTATTTCTGCTGGTGCTTCTGTAAGGAATTCCACACTGCCTGAGAAAACCAGGAGCACCAAGACCGTCCTCATGTTGTTGTTCCTGAGCTCAAGAACATGTTCATGAGCATTGTAGGAAGGTACAGCCCTGTGATGCATCTAGAGGCAACCAAGGCAGAGTTTGCTGGAATTATAAGGGATTTATGGAATTATGAGTTACTCATGAAATAATGTAGGTGGTGCCACAATGCCATAACAAGGACAAGCCATTTACAGGAGGCAAGGGCATAACCTTCAGTTTAAGGGACACAATCAGTAACACACAGCAATAATTCAAAGGTTTCTGGTTTTCAAAATAATCACAGTAGAAAAAAAAACATTTAAACACTTTACTAGAGGGTCTCCTGAGGAAAAACAGGTGTTGTGACAGCTTGGCCCAGAAGGAGAAGTGAGTTATAACCATGGAAATAGTCCTTCCTCTCCCAGGAGTCACCACAGCTGGCAAAAGGGAACTGAGCTAATCCAGGGCATGGGGAGTGGAGTCTGCACTGGTGTCTGTTGTTTAACTGTGAAAAAATAACTTCTCCATGAGGAAAGGATTTATTTATGCCTGACCTGTGAAAAGACATCGCTTTCTTCCAACAGATAAATTTATTTCAAATGTGAATCATCATGGGTTGTATAAAAATGTCAAATTGAAATGGATGTGAAGCTGAATTCCCCTGTTTCTTCTCTTCCCCCCCCAGCAGTGATTGGGCCCCCTGAAGTGGAGGTGAAGTCGGAGTCTGGGGCCCTGCACGTGGATTTCTCGGGCCCCTTTGCTGAGCACAAGCAGGACAGGTGGTCTCTGAGGCAATACTATGGCTCCTGGGGCTACAGGATCCTCTACTGGAAGAAAGACAGCACTACAGACTCTGCTTCCAGGGTATGGGGGCTTTGATCTGTGCTTTTCCTGGGAAAACACCATCCTGGTGAGGCTCTGAGAGCTCCTGGAGGCCCTGGCACAGGCTGCCCCTGGATCTCTGGGAGTGTCCAAGGCCAGGCTGGACGGGGCTTGGAGCAACCTGGGCTGGTGGAAGGTGTCCCTGCCCATGGCAGGGGGTGGCACTGGATGGGCTTAAAGTCCTTCCCAACCCAAACCAGTCTGGGATTCTGGGATTCTGACAGGACTGAAGTAAAAACAGATCTCTACTAATTACAGTGTAATCAAGCCCAGTCACTCCAACAGTGACTGGGAGCACAGGGCAGGTTGCTGTGTAGTTAAACAGTGGCATGGATGGAATTTTCTCTTTCCACAGTTACAAATAACTGCTACATTGTGAGAGTTTATTCCCTCTTCAGGAAACTTTGGGCTTTGAATCCCCCAAAATGGGTGAGGCCTTACATTAACTGTGCTCACCTCTCCGATTTCTGCCTGTGTAATTCACTTTCTCCCTCTCATGAACAGTCTCTTCCACAGGCAAATGTGTTACTCAGCACAAAAGGCTTCTCCATACACGGTGCCTGGAGAAAGATCATAAATAATATAATAATTATAGGATCATGTGTTCTATTACAGGAAAACAGGAAGCCTCAGACCAGCAGACACCAGTCACAGTCTAATTAGTGCTTTTCACATCAGCACAGTTTTCACAGAATGGGGCTGCACTGTGTATGATCCTGATTTGTGGTTGTTACCCTGCACAATTCAGTTCCAGAAAATGAGGAATCATCATCTCCCAAAAAGCAGACTTTTTTTTGCAATTCCTAGGTTTGCAATTCCCATCCTCCCAGAAAGGAAGGTGTTTCTGCATATGGGATACAAACTCAGAGGGATTTACCAGAGGAAGCAGGAACTGCAGGATCTGCACTTGTAACACTTCAGGGGGGGAGTCTGAGTGATTTTCTAGGGATGAAAGGAGCAAAAGGCAGAGACTGTGTAACTTCACAGTTTATTTTTGAAGCTCAGAGATTGAAACCTGGCTGTGGAGTCTCCTCAGGCTGAGACAGGCTCTGTTACTACAGAACAGGACATTTTGTAGGTGCTTCTTTACTCTGCAGTTACAGGGACATGACTGATGGTGCCTCTAAACAGCAAGTTCTGCTGTCAGTCATCTCACAGCCTCCAGAAGCCTTTTTCTCTGTTCTTTTTGGTTTTCCTTCTGTCTGGATCCCAGAGTCACAGAATTGTGAAGGTTGGAAGAGCCCTCTCAGGTCACCAAGTCCAACCCTTAACCCAGCACTGTGTTCACCACTAAACCCTGTCCCCAGGTGCCACATCCACACGTTTTTGGACACTTCCAGGGATGATGATTCAACCATTTCCCTGGGCATCCTGTGCCAGGGCTTGACAACTTTTTTGGTGAAGAAATTTTCCCTGCTTTAGTTTCCAGTCTAGAACTCCCCTGGCACAGCTTGAGGCCGTTTCCTCTTGTCCTGTTCACCCATCCCACTTGCTGCCTCTCCAGTTAGATTATGTTTGTCTGTAGCAGTGCTCTCAGTTGATCTCATCTGCTTGGGGGACAGTTTCTGTCTGCAAACATATCTCATTTATCTCTTCTCATTAGCCTAAAACTTCATTAATGCTGCTGGAAACAGCCAGAAGGTCACTGGTGGGAGTGGTTTCACAGTACTCTTGTAACTGTGATTGTCATTCCTTAGCTAATTCCTTGGCTATTCCAGTCACTGCTCTCATGCTCTGCACATTTGTGGTGTTTTTCTCTGTCTGTAGGTCTCCCATGTAGACACCCAGCACAACTCTGAAATCCTGTCCCAGCTGGAGCCATGGACATGGTACTGTGTCCAAGTGCAGGCGGTGGTTCCCGACTGGAACAAGATAGGGGAGCTGAGCAGGGAGCTGTGTGAGAAGACAACCCACAATGGTAATGCCTGGGGCAGCAGGGGGGGAACTGGGAAATCCTGGAATCACACACCGGGGTGGGTTGGGAGGAACCTTAAGGCTCATCCCATTCTCCACGGGCAGGGACACCTCCCGCTAGCTCAGGTTGCTCCAAGCCCTGTCCAGCCTGGCCTGGGACACTTCCAGGGATGGGGCATTCCATAGGGAAAGTGATCATTTGAAAGGAATCACTCAGAAATGGATAATTACAGCTGTAACCATTTCTCCCTCCTCTCTTGCAGGTGTCACTCCCGTGTGGGTGGTTGTGACAGTTCTCCTGGGGTCCATGCTGGCTGTGGCCATTGCGGTCCCTGTCTGCTTCTTCTCCCTTTTTTACCTGATCCGACTCACCAAACATGTTTTCTGCCCTTCATATATTTTCCCACAACACTTGAAAGAGGTTAGTTTTCTGCCTAACACGCAAAAATCAGCCTTTTCAGCAGAACCACTTGCTTTTCCAAGGCTCTCGGTGCCAAAACCTTTAGAAGTTCTTTTATTTTGCCCTATTCCATTTGCACCTGATTGCCAGCAAACTGTAGTTTGTAATAAGCAGCTTTATATGGTTCAGAAACAGGATGTTTTCCTTCATTTTAAAGTGAGAGAATAACAGGTGTCAACTTCAGTTCCCCATTTAACTGGTGAGCAACCGAGATCTCTGTCTCTCCTGTCTCATTTTGGGCTTAAAATAGCACATTTGTTCTCCTGCAACAGAGTTCTGTCACCTGTGCAATAACGAGTTGTAACTTCAGTAAGGAGTGTAGGGAAGTAAACCTGGACCAGGCCAAGTGTCCCAGAGACACCTGGGCTGGGGGAAGGACCTTAAAGCTCATCCAGTGCCACCCCTGCCATGGGCAGGGACACCTTCCACCAGCCCAGGTTGCTCCAAGCCCCGTCCAACCTGGCCTTGGACACTTCCAGGGATCCAGGGGCAGCCACAGCTTCTCTGGGCAACCTGGGCCAGGGCCTCCCCACCCTCCCAGGGAAGGGTTTCTTCCCAATTTCTCACCTGAATTTCCCTCTTTCAGTTTGAACCCATCACTCCTTGTCCTGTCACTGCAGTGCCTGACGAAGAGAACTTCCACCAGAACATCTCCCCAGCAAAGGGAAGGGAGGGGCAGTTCTATTATTCAGAGTAAAAAGTTATTACTGAAAATACCAGTTTTTTGTTGGGGTTTAATCCATTTGCCAGCCCTGGCAGCCAGAAACTGCTCATGGGCAGAAAAGTAGGAGCTAAGACATCAACACAAGGTGAAAAAAGTGGGTTTTTTTCAGCTCTGCAATAGCTAAAACCCTTCACACAAGGAGTAAGTTCTTAGCAGGCTAACTCATGTTTTCTAAGGCCAGTAGGAGCCATGGGTAAAATTCAGGCAGGGATACGAAAAAAGTCCTATTTATGAAGTGCAAATGTTAAGTAGAACTGTACAGCACAGGAACTTTTAAATGCCATAAAAATATTTTAATGGTATTCGAATTGCAAAAAATGATATAAAAATGTATTTAATGCCTCGATTCACTCTTTTGTAAGTATTCTATCCCAGCCTCTCACCACCCTCTCAGGGAAGAATTCCTTCCCACTATCCCACCTGTCCCTGCCCTCTGGCAGTGGGAAGCCATTCCCTGTGTCCTGTCCCTCCATCCCTTGTGCAAAGCCCTGGACTTTGCTGACCCTGGAGCTCAGCTGTTGGGGTGGCAGCACTGCTCTGGTCAATACAGGATGTGGTGACATTTCCTTTGCTCACAGGTTGCTCTAAAGAAAGGGAGAGTTTTCATTTTGTGCTGTAGTGGCTGATCCCAGGAATCAAAGGTCAGTTGTACCTACAATGTGTTTTATCCAAGGCAGTGGTTTCACAATGTGATTGCTCCCAAGCCTGGGACAGGATGTTAGAGAGGATGTGACATTGTTGCCCCTCTGGGACTTGTGAGGACTGAGAAAACCAACTGATGTGTGGCAAACAATCTCTGGTTTAACAGTAACAGTATTTCTAAGCAAACAGGATGGTCCAGCCAGTGCAACCTAATTCTCATTTCCTCTTTTTTCTCCACAGTTCTTGAGCAAACCTCCCACTGCTCCACAGTCCTTCTCTCCAGTTCCACAAGAAGAACATCTTATTTGTGACAAGCTGACTGTCCTTCCAGAAGATTCCCAAAATCCCAGGGATGAGGCTGAGGATGAGGCCAACGAGACACCAGAGCACCCCCAGGGCTCTGAACGAGGAGATTCCAACTCAGGAGTAGGAACAGCTTCAGGGAAGACCTAAATGCTTCCTTGGAAAAGGAAAACAAAGGGACTGTTGGGTTTATCTCCTTATTGCTGCTTCCTTCAGACAGTAAAAATCCACAGACAAAGGTGTGGGCACAGACTTTTGACTGAACCATTTTTTTTTTTTTAAAGTACAAGAAACTTGGCTGTAAATGAGGAACTAAACAATACACAATTTTTGCCACTGCTGGTGGTGGCTCCCTAAGGAGTTGTGGCAATACCTGGCACTGATTATGACATTAAAAAGCAATTTTCATATATATATATATATATATATATAAAAAGTACTAGTTAACTCTGATGAACTATTTATTGCAAAAACTAAGCAAAATATTTGTAAAAGAAAAGTATATTTTGTAAAGAAAGACCTGACCTGATTTATTTTTTCTTATGAAAAATTATATGTGTTTTTAAGGATGTCCTCCAGTGGCATCATCTTTCTCTTGAATTGTTTTCTACCTGCTGCAGAATTGTGAAGTTTTTAGGATGGGATGAACTGAAGTCTGTGGAAAACTTGGCAGCTAAAGTGGGAGTTAAATGAGGTTCATTTTGTTTATCTGTTGATGTGTATTCTTAATTTAAAAATGTCAGTCTGGGGAGCTGGGACTCCCTGTGCACAGTCCAGCCTCACCTGCCCAGGGTCATACCCAGGGTTTTACAAAGGTTTGTATAAAGGTTTATATAAAGGTTTTACCCAACACTGGGGCAGAGAGAGGCATTAACTGGCATTTGTGTGTTATTACATCAAAATGAGAGTGAAAAATTAAATTCTGTCAGCCAAAGGAACCTGGCACGAGTGAAGTGTGTCTGGGTCAGCTCCCTGTGTGATCCCTGCCCCTTCTCCCACACAAACAGTTTCTTAGATATGTCCTTTTTCTTTTTTGCCCTTTTTTAACGTGGGGTCTGTTAAAGCAAGAGGGTTGAAGTTCAGGTGAGCTCATCTTTAACCTCCTGTCTGTGTCATCCCCAGAAAGCCTTTAGAGGGTGAATTCCAAAATGAACTGGAATCAGCCTGGAGAAGAGGAGGCTCTGGGGAGACCTTGGAGCCCTTCCAGCCCTTTCCTAGAGCAGGGACACCTTCCACCAGTTTGCTCAGAACCCCATCCAGCCTTGCCTGGAGCACCTCCAGGGATTTAAGAGCTCTTAAAAGCAGCCCAGATGTGTTTCTTCAGAGCGACCTGCAGCCAGTTTGATTTGCTTCAGAAGCCTTCCTGTCCCAAACCAAGTCCTTCCAGGAAATCCTTTGGAGGTGAGAGGCCTCTTCTTCAGCCACAGCTTCTCTGAGAGGCACCAAAGGGTCTGGGGGCAAGGTGGCCTCTGGCTGTGCCCACATGGGCTGTGTGGCCCCACAGGCCCCTGGTGCCTCTTCAGAGAACAATAATTTAGAGGAGAGTTAATCCTGAGCTGAGCTTGTGGGAACAGTGATGGCAACGAACCAACAAAGCAGGGGAACTCAGCTGGGGCAGGATTTGAACTGCAGGGTACAGGGGGAAGCTGCTCCCTCTGCCACAGAGTGTCCTGGCCCAGGGAGGAGGGACACAGACCGTTTGGGAGACCTGGGAGTTATTGGAGAGCTATTCCCAAATATATTTGCTGAATTGCAAAGCAGAGAAGAGTGATTAAGGAATAGGGAGATGGAGAAAACTGTGGGAGAGGAGTCTGGGCTTGTGGTGAGCAAAACAGATCCTCAGTGAGGGAAGGCAGCAAGGGAAGGAACAGTTCAGCCAGTTCCAGTCAAGGGAGGGGAGTGAGAATTCAGGGACAAAGAGAAACCAGAGCCCAGGACCAAGCAAGGGAGCAGGGACACCCTCCAGCTCCACATCCTTTACCTCTCCATGTTGGTGACTTTGGTTCCTCCCTGCCCAGCAGGTCCTGGAGATTCCAGGAAAGGCTGTCTCTGGCTGCCAAGTGCAAATCCAGAACAAGTCCCACTGAGCAGCAGAGCCAGAAAGGCTTTCAGAAATACCCATCACGAGCTGTGGAAAAGGCTTTAAAATAGGTTCTTAACCAGAAATTCAGGATAAGAGTTTGTGGTAGCAATTTATGTTATGGGCAACAGCCATTAATCACTTGGCAAATGTCATTTTGTAGGATTCTTCAGTTACTGGCTAAGTGGCACAGAGGCTCCTTCCCTTGATACTGTGCTGCTGCGAAGAGAAAGGTGCAAAGAGCTGTTTTCCAGGAAGAACCCCCAGGCTTGGCTGACCATCCGTGTGCAATGCACTGGGAATATTCCTTCCTTGGAGCCTGGGTTCCCCGAAGGGAACTCTGCATGTTTGCAGGCCCTTCCTGCAGAACCCTGCGGGCCTGGCACGGGGATGGGGGGGAAAAGACAAATGAGACCCCCCTGGGGAGCCCTGCAGAGGAAATCCTCGCTCCAGCAGCGGGATGTGCACCAGGGACGCCGGGATTTCACCCCGGAGAAAGCACCAGAGCAGAGAACCCGTTTAATGACTTTCAGTTCTTCCCTTTTCCCATCAGCTCCGCCACCACATCACTCAAATCTCCTGTCTGATTTCTATTCCCTTCTCTCTGCTCCTGTTGTTTACGTGACACTTTTTGAAACTACGCTGGAAGTTCCTCAGAGCAGGGACTTTTCCAGTCTGTGTGAGGAACATTGTGACGAAGATGATTAAATCACAGCAGGAGCTCTGCACAGGGGCTGGATTTTCAGCCCTGCTGACCTGCAGGTGAGACCAGGCTCTGAAACTGCCCCAACAGAGCACAGCTGGCTGATCATAATGGAATTTCAGCTGCAACAGGGAAGGCTCCAGGGAGACCTCAGAGCTCCTTCCAGGGCCTAAAGAGGCTCCAGGAGAGCTGGAGAGGGACTGGACAAAGGATGGAGGAACAGGACAAGGGGCTTTAAGCTGAAAGAGAACAGATTTAGATGGGATATTGGGAAGGAATTCCTGGCTGGGAGGGGGGGGAGGCCCTGGCACAAGTTGGGCAGAGAAGCTGTGGCTGCCCCTGGATCCCTGGAAGTGTCCAAGGCCAGGTTGGACGGGGCTTGGAGCAACCTGGGCTGGTG